TTTTAAATCCAGTTATTTATTTAGCCAACAGAAAGCACGTTAGGCAGTGCTCACATCACCATTATCTTTAATCTTTCACGTATGTCATTATGAGAACAGAAGGGGAAACAACTGACCTAAGGAGGAAAGGCTTGAGGTTTGTGCCCAAACAATGGAGCACTTCAAATCCACCACGCTGGGGATAATATGCACTTTTGAAAGTGAAATCTTTCTGGATTTCAAATAACCGAGTGCGAACAATGAAATTTCTCTCCAAAAGTACAGCATTTATGACTTTGCAGTCAACAGAACCACCAAATGACACAAGAGTCCAAACCACGTGGGAAAGCTAAAAAATTTCCCAGAATAGTTCCTTCACAATTGCTAACTGCTATGAAACAGCTATTAAAAATAAATAAACAAACATAAAAAACCACAAGCACGGAGAGGTAGATTTAAAAAAACAGATATATGTAGAAACCAATTCAGAAGCACTGAAAAGAAGTTCGGGGGAGAAAAAAAAGTAATTCCAATAAACCAGTTGGACATCCATAGTGAAGATTACTAATGCCATTGGTAACTTAAAGAGACGCACAAAGTTAATCTCAAATTATAACAAGGAGTTTGAACTGCTGTATTTGAAGATGGGCCAGCAATTCAGCCATAAATTCACATTACAGGGCAGGCCATCTCACTTGATCTTTGTCTCAGGCATTTCCCAGAAAATGCTATGGTAAGCTCCCAAAACCAGATGCGAATGCCACCTCCTCCATACCAAGGTCATTGCAGCAACACCAAGTGAAGCCCCAGAAGCTGACATGGGGTAGGCAGTATGGACCCCTGCTGCTGCCAGCCCCCAGCTGCTGCCCTCCTTTTCTGGAAGTTTGTGAGAAGATGGAAAAGCAGGGCTGTTCTTCCAAAGAGAAGCCCACACACCCCAGTCCTCATGATGAGCATGTTTACCTCGAGTATTGTGTTCAGTTTTGGGCCCCTCACTACAGGAAAGACATTGAGGCCCTGGAGCGTGTTCAGAGAAGAGCAACAAAATTGGTGAGGGGTCTGGAGCACAAATCTTATGAGGAGTTGCTGAGGGAGCTGGGATTGTTTAGTCTGGAGAAGAGGAGGCTCAGGGGAGACCTTATTGCTCTCTACAACTTCCTGAAGGGAGGTTGTGGTGAAGAGGGGTTTGGCCTCTTCTCCCAGGCAACAAACAGGACATGGGGAAATGGCTGCAAGTTGTGCCAGAGGAGGTTTAGGTTAGACATAAGGAAGAACTTTTTCTCTCAGAGGTCAGGCACTGGAATGGCCTGCCCAGAGAGGTGGTGCAGTTGCCGTTCCTGGCAGTGTTAAGAGGTGTCTGGATGAGGAGCTGTGAGATATGGTTTAGTGCTTGTGGTAGCAATGGTAATAAGAAGACAGTTGGACTAGATGATCTTATAGGTCGTTTCCAACCTTGTGATTCTATGATTCTATGCTTTATGTCACAGGGCCATGTTCTGACCGAGCATCCCTGTGGCAACCAGAGGAAATGCCTGCAAGGAAGGCTGATGATTTAAAAAGAGGTGATTCCAATGGGTAATTTTAAAATTACAGCACTGGTTACCCCTCCTGTCACACACTGCAGCAATCCTGTTACCTACCAAGCTCCAGAGGAATGTACAAGGATGCATAGGGTCATTTCCCAATCAGTGAAGACTTGGAAAACAACTGCTATTATAAATATCTCAAGTCTCAATTTATGACATTTCAAAGGACAAACCAAGTTCTAAAAACCTCATTCAGTATCTCAAACATCAATCTTGGTCAGTGATATGCCTTGCAAAATACCCAAAACTCTACTAATATGCAGTTATTGTGTTATTTAACCTCAAGAATCCCCCATACTAGCAGAACTGTATGACCAAAGCACTCATTCTAGTGCCAAGTGTCTCATAGGACCTAAAATCAGAGCTAACAACTTTGCTCTGGGGTCTGTTTGGGACAACAGTAACATCTGCATAGAAGATGAAAGCCACTTTCTGCAGCCCTCTGACTGCAAGACCAGTGGACTTGCCTCTGAAACTCTGCCTGAAAACACTCCAAGGCAGGCAGTTAACTTGGTAACAGAATACATTTCAAAGCCCTTACAGTGATAAAAACTAAGAATACATACATCTTAAGATGTCAAAAGATCTGGATAAATAAAAGCTTGAAACATTTCACCCCCGTATAGAAAATGCACTTTGAATTCTAATCCAAAGTTTGCCTTCTCTTAAAAATAAGGCAGGTGATATCTCAGATTGTCAGGTAAGCAATTTATGATACCCAAAAGGGAAAGAAAAAAAAAAAAAAAAAAGAAAAAAAAAAAGCTAACAACCCAGCAGCATTTTTACTGCCTCTTTTAATCTACTGGTTCCAAACCAGATGCATTCAGTGCAGCATTCTGATTAGAAAAAAAAAACGGCTGTTGAATTTTTATTACTATGTCCCTTAAGGACTAAAAGCGGTAACCCCAGGCATTAATGTGCACCATGAATAACGATACATACGAGCACATAAAAAGCTTGTTATCTCTGTTTATGGAATTTTTCTACCATGTTGATACATTTATGGATAGAAGTAGGGTGCAGGAGAGAAGAGAAAGCTATCAAAGTAACAAATACTGTTAAATAAAACCTATCTGGAAAGGAATAAGCTATGCAATACAAAATGCGAATAAGCCATGTCTCTTCATTACCACACTGACGCTCCTTTGTAGTCAGTGGAGCCTTGTTTAATAGTTCTACTAAAAGCCTTCAGCCACATACATCTCACCCACTGATAGAAAACACAATTCAGATGTAACCTCGATAAACTGTCACTCATTATAGGAACAATCTGCATACACAGGTTTTCTTCTTTTATAATCAGTGTAAACAGGGAGAGCTCCTTTTCCATGCTCTGAAACAGCTCAGTGGATGCACAGAAGCCCCTTCTCGCCTCGTCCTGTATGGCAATAGCTGCAGCTTGCTCCAATTTATACTAAAGGGTTGATTCAAACCCAGAAAAAGGCCAGAATACATAAATTAGTTTTTGTTCTTGTACCCTGAAAGGAGGAACAAATGACAAAGATTTAGAGCCTGCTGTCAGCCACCCTGCCCCTTTACCAAGCCCTCTGCTGACTTCCCCCCACTAAGATCAGCCTGGGTTTCCCTAGATTGGTGCCCTGGGAGAACAGATGCAACATAGAGCATTATGGAAAAATAAAATCACTTCTCTCCAGCTGTTTATATTCCTCCTTCAGGCTCAAGGAAGGGGACACACAGACAAACACCAACAGCTGCTAGGCTTTAGGTGCCCAGAGGAGCTGTGCCCTTGGAGAAGACTGGGTCATGCAGGAACAGCTTGTTTGGAGGAAAAGGGTTTGTATCCGAGCATCCCACCATTGCAAGGGCTCAGGCCAAAGCTCAGCTGTCCTGCTTGCCCTGAGAGGTCCCAGCTGCCAACCTGGCCTGCCATCGGCACAGCCTGAAGCACAAAGCCCTCAGCCAGCTGCTTGGCTTGGTGCACAGTTCTCTCTTTTTTAATGAGATCAGCACTCATGAAATGTGCTAGCTCAACGGGCATGCTGATGGAAGCCCTCTGGAAGCTCTTTGGTCAGGATGAACAGATAACTGCAGTCGCTTTCACAAAGACCTCGTGTGAAAAGACACCGTGAATTCAGCGGAGTTCCTGCAAGGGTTTCTCATGGATCTGCTGAGAACAGAGCACGGGGAGGAGAAAATCCTTCCACTGAGTTAAGTGCATGAACTTCACAACCTACCTCTTCAAGACTGGCACTAAGGAGTTACTTGTCAACAAGTAGAGGACACCGACTCCTTATCTGTCTCAAACAGACCTGCTGTGGGTGCAACCACTGTTGTTAAAATAAGGAGGGCGGGCATGTTTAATGCATGTAGGTCACAGCCATGATCCTGCTGGGAGCAGAATGGCTTTTAGTTCTGTTTTCAAGTTTTCACTTGAAAAAGCCTACGAAGTCAAACAGGAAGAGTCACACGTTCACGATAAAGATATAAAGTATGACTGCGATGAATAAGCAAGTCTTTGTTTAGAATACATTTTTAAGCAGAAAAATGAAGATCAGTTACTCTTATTTCGCAGACACTTCTCCCAGCATAAGGCCATTACAACGATCAAACACAATCAGCTTTCCTCAGTAGCCGGTGACAAATTCGCTCCAGCGTATCGCATCAATGATGCGCAGATTACGGTCTTTAATAGTACACAGTGGGGCCATTATCCTGTGTTGTCACCGCGCACCATTAAAAGGTCTTTAATCTCCAGATTGCTGCCACAATATGCTGCTGATGTCAGTGATCTGCTGAGTAACAGGCCAGGACAACGCGGCTATCTCCAGCCTCTGGGGCCGCCTGCAAATCCAGGCTCCCCGGCACTCAATCGCTGCCACTCAATTAATGTATCTGGGTCAGAAAAACGGTTTGCGGGAGCCGCGTTACGAAACGCTCCCTTCACACCGGCGGACAGCAGAGCCCAGGAAACCCCCCCACTGCCTGCGAGCGGGCGAGCATCGCTCAGCGGTGCCCGCAGCACCGGGCCGGGGGGGCACGCGGCTCCCCGGGGGGCGGTGGGGCTGCGGCAGGCGCGGCTCCATCCCTCCTCCGCCCGCTCCGGGGCTGTGCCGGCAACTTTCCCCCGCGGTGGAGAGCCAAAAAATACACACACACATACATATATATCTATATGTGCATATATACGTGTGCCCATGTGTATACGTATATGTGTGTATGTATACGCGCGGTGCGTATGTATATATATATGTATGTGTGTGTGTATATACATACAGAATACGTGTGTATTTATCTGTGCATACACACGTATACATCTGTATACACGAACGTACGCCCACCCGCGCCCCCCCGCCACGCACGGCGATGTCAGCCCCGCGGAGCCCCGCGCACAGCCCGCCCCGGGCTCCCGGCACCGGCCGCGCTGTAGGGCAGGTGGGGGTCGCGGGGGTGACCCGCGGAGGGCGGCTGACTCACCCAGAAGACGAAGGAGTAGATGATGAGAAGGGTTTTCAGACACGTTATCACGGGTTTGGTCTCCATTCTCCTCGATGCCATAATACTGAGCTCCCGGCTGCAGGCTGGGCGCGGGAGGGAGGCGGGCTGGAGGCGGGGAGGCGGGCGGGAGGCGGAGGGAGCGGGAGGTGAGCTCAGTGCTCGGCTCGCCCCGCCGCGCGGCTCACCGCGCCGCCTGCTGCCGCCCCCGGACCGCCGGCGGCACACTGCGGCCGCCAGGGGGCGCGGGGAGTCGGGGAGGCCGCCACGGCCCCGCTCGGCGGTGGAGAGACTGAGCGGGCGGGGGGCGGCACTCCCGTGCCGGCTGTGCCTGAAGGGAGGCTGTCCCGAGTAGCGTTCGGAGATTGGGGCGAGGGGGGGTCGGCCTTTTCTCCCAGGTGACTAGTGATAGAACGTGAAGTAATGGCCTCACGTTCTAGGGAGATTCAGGTTGGATACTGGGAACAATTTTTCCTCAGAAAGAGCAGTGAGGCAGTGGCACAGGCTGCCCAGGGAGGTGGGGCAGTCACCGTCCCTGGAGGTGTTGAAGATCCCTGTGGATGTGGCACTGAAGGACATGGGCAGTGGGCATGGTGTGATGGGCTGCTGGTTAGGCTAGGTCATCTTAGTGGCCTTTTCTAACCTTAATGATTCTGTGATTCTATGAGTTGTATGTATGAATTTCACCTTGGGAGTGCAGGTCATGACTCTGGGATGCTGCTGGAGACTGATTCCTAACCTTGTCTTTGCCATATCATCAAATCTGAACTCTATCCAAGAACTCATCTTGACACTGAACCCCAATTGAAGCTGACCAGAAGCCATTTCCCTCTGCATGCCTCTGAGATCCACAGCCCATCTCCATCTCAGAGAGAGAGAGCAGAGCTCTCAGGAGAGAGCCTGCCTCTAGTTATTGTCACAGCAGCGATCAGCACACTGCAGTACCCAACAAGAGTGGGTGGCTGAGAAACAACCATGTTAGCTGAGGAGAAGAATGGAACTCCCTGCTAGGGTGGTGCTCCAAACTATACCTTTTACTGCACTAAAATCGAATCAAGGGCAACCTGAGCAGCATGTCCTCGGGCTACAAAATCAATGTAGTTCATGCAGCTGATGTACCAAGGTGATAAACCAAGCTTTGCCGTTCAAGGGACAATGTTTAGAAGCAGAAGGGGAAAAAAAAAAAAAAAAAAAAAAGATCCCTGAGCAAGCGCTTTTGCAATATGCAGGAGCTTTGTGAGGAAGAATGCCACAACACATTCTGCTGGGTTTGACTTATGACTTTAAGGGTTGCTTATTTTAATGGATAGCCCACTGTTTCCAGAAACAATGAAAGCGTTTAAAGGATGCTCGGAGGGGGAGCATACTGCGGGAGCTACTGTTTTGTGAGGCATTCACCACTTTTGTGGAAAATTCATATGACAGATGCATAAATCTTTATTGACTTGGCCATTAAAATGTAAATAAGTGCAGTAACTGCAAAAAATTACATTGACACTAACAACAGTTATAAATATTCACTGTACAAAAACTACTGTAAGATTTTTGACAGAAAATAGCCAAACAAGAGCAAAAGAAACTTATCTTCCTGCCACTCACACATGGGCTTTGGAAATGATAAATGCTGCTGTTCCAGGCTGAGGGACAGTCACTGTTTATTTCAGCAACTGTGGTTGTATCTCCCCTCCCCTTGAGGTACTTCTAATAAAGCACAAAGAAAGCACAGTATCAACCAGAATTTAAATATCCAGCCAACAGAAGGCACATGTGGTCATCTTAGTGGAAGTGGATTTTTTCATAGGCTCACCATTTTCATAGAATCACATAGTGGTTCAGGTTGTAAGGGAGCTCAAAGCCCACCCACCCCCAACCCCTTCCCCCCACCAGCTCAGGCTGCCCAGGGCCCCATCCAACCTGGCCTTGAGCACCTCCAGGGATGGGGCACCACAGCTTCTCTGGGCAGCTGTGCCAGTGCCTCACCGCCCTCTGGGGAAAGGATTTCCCACTGATGTCTAATGGGGGCAGGGCAAGCTGCTTTTAGAAGAAACATCAGCCCTTGAGTTTTCTCAGAAGGATATGTCAGGGATTCTGCTGCTTGCAGCACTTCGCTCTCCCAATTTGTTAAAACCTACAGAGGATTCAAACCCTTGCACCAGGGAAGCAGAAAGAAAGCATAGGTGCAAGAAGTCCATCTCAGGAAATGTTGTTCCTTCATTCATGAATTGTCCTTGGCGTGAAGATGTCCTGAGCAGTGAGGAGCAGAGGCTCTGTGCTCCCTCCACCCCAAACTACAGTCTCTTGCTCAGACTGGAAAAACACTGAATTGCTTTTTGATATACAGTGAAACAGCATAAACTTTATTGGATGTAGATGCAAATTTTGGATTAAAAATGAGAAGATCTGAACAGAACCGGGCATAAATCTGTCTAGTTACAGTAAATACCATTAAAATGTGACAGAAGTACCAAACCATCAAAAATATTTTAGGCTTAAATGGAATTACTGAGCAAGTGCTGGCCCTCAAAACAAGTTTACCTTTTAAAATTATTTTCTCCTATTTTTTTCAGACTTGGGAGTGCTAAGCATTTCTTAAACAAAGTCAAGCAACACTTTCTAAAGCGAGGTAGGTTTTCAGTACTGAAGTCTGTGTTTGCAAAGTTAGGAATGTAATTGCTCCTTACGTCTCCCTGTAGAGAGAGAGCATTCTTGTATTTATTTTAAAAAGGACATTTTTGTCTAACTGTGTCATTTGAAAAATATTTCTTTAAAACACTGGTGGTTTGCAGGGGATTCATCTGACAAGTTGGTGCCTGTGAGCTCCTTTTTCTTCATAATGCACAGGGAATATACTCTTTCTTCATAAGTCTTTCTGCAGTGCATCTGTCCAGAAAGAGCCCCTTCATCCCACAACAGGGAAGCATCATGCTATAGACAGAGAAGATGAATGCTTTCATCCTCACCCAAGGCTAACATTGTTTATTTGATGGTTAAGTAGAATGTTACTGGAGGAACTGATGCAAAGATGTAAGCGGCCATTTTGTCAAGTGTAGTAAGGCCTAGAGCCTCAAAGGTATCAGGAAACCTCTATTTTTTCTCCTCTGCCCACTCTGGCCTTCCCCAGGTTCCCTGTGGCACTGTTTAAGATAAAGACTGCAACCTTTGCCTGCAGTCTCTGCCATTTGTTAGTGGGCATTTGAGTTCATAATTCAAACCTGATTATGCCTCCCCTGATGCCAGCGATTTGTTCTGTTATTTCTCTTTCTCTCATTCCCACTTGTGGTTGCCCTCAGCCAACCATACCCACATCCTAGGTCAGTCCACTGCTGATTAAGGAGCAGCTTTTGGGAAGAATGCAGAAAGCAGAGGAAGAAAACACAAGTCTGATAATGCTGTTGTGCTCATTCGTCTCCAGTAACTTCAGGTAGCACCGTGAAGGCCCCACAGAAACCTCTGGGCCATACTTTGGACTCTAAAAAGCAGAGCTCCTGCACAGCAGCTGTAGCTTTCTATGGCTTGTAGCTGCATGATTCTGGCAAGTGCATCAGTGGGATCAAGCTGTCAGGCCTGATCTTCAAAACGTCTCTTATAAGAAAGCCTCAGGCTCTGTGTGTTACAAAGCAATCCATGAAGGGTATGCAGCCAATCTCAGAAAGATCTGTTGGAAGAGACCCTGTGAATCAGCAAATGTGGTGTTGATGAAACCAGTTGAGGTGCCTCACTTGAAAAACAACAAATGAAGATGCAGCCTCCTGCAGCATAAAGATAAGGGAGCAAATACAGACATCCGCTTCAGTAGCTTGGCAACAGGTATGAATTAGGATGAAACACATACTGAGCAACAATTTTGGAAAAGGGGCTTGTGGGATGGCATTGTGTGACTGCAAGACACAATGCCACCTAAAATAACTGAGTGAGTGGTATATACTTATGGAGAAAGTTGAAACTTTCCTGGACTTTTTAAGAAAGTTGCTTTGCAGAAATATATGTCATCATGTATGAATGATGCTTTGTAAATAAAGCATTATGTTGCACCTAAAAGATATCTTGGGGGAATAAGAATCGAGAGAAGCAGTTTTAGGAGAGAAAAGCACTAAAAGGAGTAAACTTTACATCTTTCACAACACAGAGTAACCTGTTATAAATTCAAAATTGTTACAGAGATTAGCAAATCTGTATTAAAGGTTAAACTCAGAAGCTCTGCTTATGAAGCTGAAGCAGGTTTGTCTCCAAAGGCAACCAGTTGCTGCTATATAATGCCTATGAACTGACGCATGTTTTGTAGTAAGTAGCCTTGTCTTTCTGTTAATTTTGGTGTAATTCAATTTTCTGATTTATACCATATTATTTTCTTTCCCTCCCTCCCCCTTTGTTCTGTGACTGTGAAGTCTTAGGAAAATTTTAAGTCCTTTGGAGTCCTTTGGTATGAATAGTTTCTCTAAAGCAAGTTTTTCAGATGTCAGCCCTCAGTGCTTATGTCATAAAATTATAGAATCATAGAATGGCTTGGGTTGGAAGGGATGTCAAAGATCATATACTTCTAACCTCCATTCCTTTCTGCAGTATTACCAACCATTAAATCAGGCACTAGATTAGTTTTGCCCAGGTTGTCCATTCTGTAAAGGCCACATATGTTTTTCTGTGCTGAAACTGTGGCCTATTCTTCCCCTGCTTATTTTCTCTGCATGTTGCCGTGCCCTTTGTTCGTAGGAGTGCTGTGCTACACAATTTTGGGGGGCAAATTGCTACCATTGTGCACACACACTTGTCGACACAGAATGGAGTGTTTGGTGGGAGGGGTGTCCTTCACCTTTTCTCCCTTCAGAGCAGACATCTAATGTCTAGCTATTTAAATGTAATGTTGGTTCAGATATGCTTTTCACAGCTTTTCCTAGCTCAGCAAATACCTTGATTTAAAAAGGGAAGATTCTAGCTTTTTTGTAGGCAGGCTCTCCTAACAATTTGTGATGGCTTTCCTGATTACCCCAAAGATATGCAAAATGTCCTGTCTGAAGCAAGCAGACCAAAAATATATTTTTGACTGAGCATAAATGCCATAATGAGATGAGTGAAGATCACCAGCATTTAGAGAGAAATTATGCAGGACTTTGGGTCCTTGAAAAAGATAAGAGGTCAGAAAGCAGAAGAATACACAAAGAA